TCCGCAGGACCAGATGGAGTCCCTGACATCGTGTTAAGGAGGACCGATGACGCTGCCTGGAAACACATAGCGATTATCTTCAATCACTGTATAAATCTGGGCTATTTCCCGGTTTCATGGAAAAGGGCAATTACAATACCCATCCTGACATAGTAGTCAGTGGCCTCACGCTTTTTGACGAACTCTGTAATGAAATCTTTGGTAAAGATTTCTTGACATCTGCCATGCAGGTTCTACAATTTTCTACAACAGTAGGCTGTAATTCCGACCATAGAGCGCTAAAAATGACGGTTTACGGGGACGAACTGGAACGTAAACCTAGACGGACTTTCTTCAACTAAAGAAGAATGGACAAACGACAATTCAACAGTATATTGGCATGAGAGCTTCCCAACTGGCAACTTCCTATAGATCGGAATGTCACTCATTCGAAAATCGATGCTTGCATCGATGCCACGAGCGGGGTTTTCGAAATGCCATGTAGTTCACCATTCCTAGTACATATTCTAGGAATAGAGGACCCCGTACACTAAACCCTGAGAGGTACATAACTATCAAGGCGGAAATTCGCAATGCGGATATAATTATCCAAGGAGCAATTGCGGAATACCATACAGTTCAGTGGGTTCAATTCCTCAACGGAATCCAGGTGAATGAGCGTATGTACGATAAAGTTTAGGCTTCAGCGGGTATTAGCTGCCATGCCAAAACTCATCGGCAGTGATGGGACCACGGCAGTCATGTCTAGCCAAAAGGCTAACATGTTAGCGGATGTTGTTCAAGGACAACCTGATGCCGACAACACCGCTTCTTTCAGCAATGCTTTTAGAAGTGATGTATCAATTTATAATGATAACTCACCACTGGTGACATTTGCAGATAATTTAACTGCAGATGGTTCCATAATAAGTGAACAAAATACATGGCGTAGTAATAAATTCCTAAAAGCTCCCAATATCGGAGCAAGGTTGAAAAGAAGACCTAATCGCAAATCCGCAGGACCAGATGGAGTCCCTGACATCGTGTTAAGGAGGACCGATGACGCTGCCTGGAAACACATAGCGATTATCTTCAATCACTGTATAAATCTGGGCTATTTCCCGGTTTCATGAAAAAGGGCAATTACAATACCCATCCTGAAACCTGGCAAGGATCCGACATTATGCAGTAGTTATAGGCCATTTAGCTTACTCTCAACGTTCGGGAAGCTTTTTGAGCAATTTTTACTCTCTGATATAAGAGAAAAGTTAGAAGAAGGAGCAATCCTATCGAATAGTCAATTTGACTTCAGGCAGGGTCATTCAACTTTACATGCCCTGATGGCCTTAGGGGACTATGTGATTAAGCTCTAAATAACAGACACATATCTATTGCTGTTAGTTTAGATTTTGCCAGAGCGTTCGACAACGTATGGCAAAATGCCATAATATAAAAATGCGAAGACTAGGCTTCGGGTTTAATATATGTAGGATGGTAACTAGCTTCTTAGCAAAAAGAAGTTATAAAGTTAAAGTTCAGGATGACCTTTCGTAAGAAAGAGCAGTGACTGCCGGGGTACCACAAGGTTCACTCCTTGGACCCGTTCTCTTCAACATATTTAGCGCCTGATGGGCATTTACGCCTGATATATGTGGATGATATATTAGTCACTGGTACAGGAACCTACGCTGGGAATACTAATAACAGACTGAATGCATGTTTAGAGCAACTCTCTGAATACTTCCAAAGTTGGAAAATGTATTTAAATGTCGACAAGTATGAGGCTATAACCTTCAAAGACAAGAAGAAATACCTGTACCGTAGCGCCAGACAGTACGAACCTTAACTTGCAATTGGAGGGGAAGCTATTAGAAATTCAGACCAAGTCAAAGTCAAATTCATATTTTCAAAGTGCCATCGGCAGAAGAGAAGGACTGACTGTAGAAGTTAGGTTAATTATCAATTAACAGACTATTAGACCACTAAATGCATACGCCTTTCCTATTTAGTTTGGGATCTCTTCCCACCAAATTTAAAGGCTTCGCATATGGGAAAGACGGATTCTTAGGTCCTGCTTGGACTTAAGGCCAACGAAGGGTGAAGATGGGATATGGCGATTACCGCCCAACAGGGTAGTATATAGTACCACAGACTTCACCCGCATAGATAAGTTTCTAATGACTAGCGCCCCCAATTCCTAGACCGGGCAGCTACGTTAGATAATAGTCTAGTTAGGGAAAGCCTGTTGCACGACACTAATGTGCAAAGGCTAACTCGGGCCAATTATAGGCCGCCGAGTAGCTTAGTTACACTAGATGAAGAAGGTCTTCTATATAGAGAGGACACACTCTTCTATCATCGCAGGTTCGCTCGCTAGACATTGACAACACTGTCTACCAAACAGCCCAGTAACTGGTGTAACGCCCTTTTCCTGTATATATTGTAAATAGTAGTATGTAAATTAGTTTAAGTAGTATAAATAGGTTTAAGTTTAGTTTTACCGCTCAACAGGGTAATATATAGTTCCACGGACTTCACCCGCATAGATAAGTTTCTAATGACTAGCGCCCTCAAATTCCTAGACCGGGCAGCTACGTTAGATAATAGTATAGTTAGGGAAAGCCTGTTGCACGACACTGATGTGCAAAGGCTAACTCGGGCCAATTATAGGCCGCCGAGTAGCTTAGTTACACTAGATGAAGAAGGTCTTCTATATAGAGAGGACACACTCTTCTATCATCGCAGGTTCAGCTCGCTAGACATTGACGACACTGTCTACCAAACAGCCCAGTAACTGGTGTAACGCCCGTTTTCTGTATGTATTGTAAATAGTAGTATGTAAATTAGTTTAAGTAGTATAAATAGGTTTAAGTTTAGTTTTAATATAGTATGTAAGAAACAAAAGTATAAAAAAATTTTAGAGTCCTTTTTTTATTCATCTTTTTTAGGGGAATTTATAAATGTAAATTTACTTTACATATAAGTTTATTGTTTTATTGAATTAATGTTAGGTAACATTAACTATGTGACCCCCTTGTTGTATTAATTAGATAAACTTAGAAAAATAAGAATTATACTAAGTAAATTTAAGCCATACACTTGAGAACTAGTGTTAGATAATAAGTTATTGAATGACTATGTTTAGAGATAGATGAAATCATAAACTTGAAACATGTTGTTCGTGGTCAGTCGACTGTTGAAGGCTGATGAGCCAAGTGGGGTTTATGATGTTCCCTTGGCCATAGTAACATACACACGGAAATACACATGGACAATAAAAGTGACAGCACACATGTAACATACACACGGATAATACAAGTAAAAGCACACATGTAACACCATTATCGTCTGATAGCAGCTTAGTGCAGGGATTTGTTTAGAATGTCGATTTCAGCAAATTATAAGATCAGTTGTGTGATTTTTAGGTGAAAGTTATTACAAAATCAAAACTAAAAGCACGTTAATTGGGGCATGTTATTCGCATTCTATAAAAATGCAAGAACTGTCAAATATATGTGACCTCTAAATCGACTTGGTGAGTTTTGAAATAGGCAGGTGTTGAGTTCGCCCATGGCAAAAAAAATGTAGGCAGATGCATAAAGATTGTGATGCCAAAAATCGAAAAAAATCTGCAAAAAAAATGCTTTTTTAATATTTTCCATTTAAATGTTATAATATGTCTATTTTCACAATTTTAACTAATTTGAATAATTTCTCTTCAAAAAGCTCGAATTTAAATAATGATTGTATCACCAGTTGTGTTTACACTTTTCAACACTTAAAGAATATTAATCGATTATTTGAAAGTCGACTGAAGTATAACTAACTGCAACATTGAATATTCAGATAACTAGCAGATACTTCAACATGCGCTCTGATATTTTTATTGCAAAATGTTTTTGGTCTTGAAGAGTAAAAAGAGGGATGTGCCTTTGTACAGGTAACAACTTTCTCATGCATCATATCATAACATCGAATTTAAGAGCAACAAACATTTAAACCAAAATATTGATTGATAAGAACTATTGTTTTCTCAGCTGTAATCGTTAGCTTATGAATCGTGATGCTATGTTTTCATCAATCGAATCAATCCGTTCACGGCACGATTCTAAATTCATAGTTAAATAATTCCTTTTTTCAAAAATTTTGTTTGTTGATTTTAATGGGAATTTATACGAAAATACATGAAATTCTCATTAATATGAAAAGAAGAAATTGATGTTTTTCTCCCAAAGATTTATTATGTCATTAATTTTACAATTTTCATTCATGTTTTCAACTTCTTGTGTAAATGTTCACATTTTGGACATATTTTAGTATTTTTCTATTTTTAAATTCTGCTGGAGAGACACTTGTCAAACATTTTTTTCTGCCGATACAAACATTTTGAAAATATTGCATCTTTTGTTTACTGTTTTCTGTGGAAATTTCAACTCGTGGAGAAAATGCGCACCTCGGATGAAAGAGAAAACAAAATTTACTTTTTTTTTGAGTTTCGCCTTGTTAAGGCGAAGATCATATGTTTATGATTTATGTGTTTGTTTCTCTTTCGAGACGAGCTTAATGATTTTAAATTTGCAGTGAAAAGGAAAGCCAGATAGACACTATCACACATTCACCACTATGTGACGCGTTTCGCCGTTGGTTAAGCTGCTCATCAGGCATATTTGGTGTGGATGATGGCTTACAAGGGCCGTTCTCTGGAATGTAGTATATATTTCGAACTTATTGCGAATTAGCATATGCGAATTAAACACTAGAAACTCCCCAAGTTCGACTCAAGCTCTATTAGCAAATCTTTTCACAGCAAAGTTTTCACTGCAAATTTCAGATCATTAAGCTCGTCTCGAAAGAGAAACAAACACATAAATTTACTTTCGTTTGAATGTACATACACCATTCAACATTGCAGTTTTCATTCATAATTTTCAGTCTTCCCAATTTTTTTTTAAAATTTCATTAAATTTGTCAATTTTTAAATGTCATAATTTATTTTTTCGATAAATGCTTTCATTTATTAGGGATGGCACACATTCAATCTAAGTTCTGAGAGTGATTTGAATGGAACGAAGAACAAAAATCTTTAGTTGTGTTCCAGTACTTTTTTAGTAGTAAAACTAGCAGAAGAGAGAACAGTGCGAAATGTCATTCTCATTTAGATGTGCTCAAAAAATAAGGGAACGGAAAATTAGCAGAAATGGGATAAAGTGTCAACATTCAAAATTCAAAATGAAAGCAGTCTAAATCGGACTTGTGAAACCTTATTGAAAAGGACGCCAAATTTTAAAAAAATGAGTATTGAAGACGGTAAGTTAAAATTATAATTATTTTTGAATGCTGTTTATCTAGAAAGCTTTGTTTTCAGAATGCGTTGAAGAGTATTTAGAGGTGGAGTTTTCTCAAACCCCAGAGAAGCTAACATGGTTGGAGGCGCCGGTAAAATTAATGTTAAGTCTTCTAGAAGACTTAATGCCACAAGTTGGGAAGACAGCCAACCTAAAAAATAAAAAGAAAATGTTCGCAGTAATAAGCGAACATCTTAACCAGACTGGGTAAGTAGACATATGTTTTCAATCGTAAAATAAGGACAATTTTTTCCAGAGATAGAGATTTTTATACTGATTCCGGTAAAGAACGATTTTCTTGGAGCGCACCCGGTACCCCGGATTTCTGACCTAAAAGTCCAGGACCAACTTCCGGTTTAGTTCCTAATCCATAAACCCGACATAGACAACATTGGAAATCCTATGAAAATACCTATCCAACAAGTGGCCAAATGGTGCAGGTTCAAGGACCCCTGGACCCAGGAAAGATAAAAGTACATATTGTAGCATTTTGGAATTAAAACGGAGAGTACCGCGTCCGTTCTCCAAGAAAAACACACTTTATCGGAATCTAGCTCTAGAGATCATTTTGAAAATATCGAAGAGTTTTTACTAAAGTAAAGTATTCCCAAAGTTCCCAAATGTTTTTGATACTCTTGTGAATGCATTTATTTACTTTTTCACTTTTTTAGGCGGTCCATATTTGTATCGCCAAGAACTCCATAATGGTATTACTTCTACTCATTTCTTATCCAATTTTAGATACTGTTTTACACCTGATCAAGTCCACACAAAATTTCGATCGTTGGAAAGGCGGTTTAAAAAAATGAAGCTCAACATCTCTTTAACAGGCAGGAATAAAGTAACATGCCCTTTTGAGCTGTAAGTATTTAGTTTTTGAGATTTTTTCCCAATTTTTTATGAATTGTTATCACTACGTAGTATAAGGAACTATCCACTACAATGCATGTTGTGGCATAGGTTTAAAATTGAGGCTTTCGAATTTTGTGTTCTTATACATTTTGATATAGAGAATTAGAAAGTATATTGAGTGAAAGGAAATCGCTAAACCCAGATTATGTCCTTGATAGCGAGAATGCTGATGGAAAGGATTGCAATAACCTCAACATAAATGAAGATTCTGGTGATATTGGTGAGAAGTAACAATTTTACTTTGGATGATTTGTGTCTCCTTCCTCCACATACATTGCTGATTTGATTATTTAACCAACATACTTATTTATTGACACACATTAGATGACCACAAATGTTGCTTAATTTTTTTAAAAACTCCTACATAAACACCTTATCTGAAATCCGCCTTCGAAAGTACTATTTGCCATTAAGCTTTCGGTAATAAGGAACATTTTCCATCATATTTAGTTTGATAATCGTAGAAAATATCCCTACTACTTTAAAGACTTTAGATCGATAAAAAAATGTAAACAATGTTGCAGTTTCCCATGAACATTATATCTCGTAACCAATTATAAAATTCAAGTATTACACCTCCTACAACCACAAACCTTATCCTCTAGAATGATACAAAATTACATTATCATAATCTAAATTTCCACCTTTTTTATTTCAGACATTCCTTCGTGTTCAAATGCGGCTTTGGAAAAAGGTATTAAAAACCAAAAGTGGAAATAGCAATTGCAAATATAAGTTTTTTTATATTTTAGATGTTCCCTTATGTACCAAGCCCAGTTTAAAAAAAGGTATCATAAACGAAATATTAAAACAACGTTATCATAGGCAAATTGTGTTAAACTATTTTCATTTCATATGCAGAAAATGCAAATCCAAAGCAACGAACTATTAAACTATTGGATTTATTGGAAAAAATTGCTGCACATATCTGCAACACAAGAGATTAATTGTGTGGTATATCTATACCTGTTAATAAATTTCATGATATCCTACACCACTAATAACTCCATTTCCAAAAGGAACTAATTATATTAATACAATAAACAAATATTTATTATTTTAAAATTGTACACATAAGTCATTGTTCAACTTTTTGTATATTTTGATGGATAAAATAGGAAGTGGTTTGTTGTATATATATATATATATATATATATATATATATATATATATATATATATATATATATATATATATATATATGTATAAATATATATATATATATATATATATATATATATATATATATATAACATATATATATATAACATAATGTAATTATGAAATTATTTGAAGTGGGTGTGTCTATAGGTCTGAAAAGAGAAAAATAAGAGATTTATCCAATAACAAGCTTCAAAGTATCTGTCGGTTTAGCCGACATTTAGACATACTTTATTATTATTCAAAATTTTGTGCCTTTATATCGGAACTGTCTAAAGGATAGGACAATATTGTCCACTTCGCTTATAATCTATGTCTGATTTGATAGGTTTGGATGACGTGTAAATACATTAGATCTATTGTCGATTGGAGTATTGAGATACACAATTTTTGAAGAAAATTCTGCTTGTTGGAAGAGTGTGGTTGATCCAAAGTTGGTATTCCAAACCACAAGGCCGGGAACGAATATGGACCAGATCGGACTCCTTCTAGTACCTACCCCAAAAAGTGCCCAAATTTGGAATATATTTAATGTTCACACCTTCTGGTACCTCCCACACAAAGGGTCAAAATTTTGAATAACCAAAACGTTCATAAAGTGAGAAGTAAATTATTTTTAAACTTCTTACATTCCAATATTTCTATCAAGCCAACATCTAGTGTGAAAATAGGATATATCGGTCCACACTTTCTGCTACCTCCTTAAAAAAGCGTGAACATATCGCCATAAGCGAAATGGACAATATTGCATGTCGAAATATATTTTAACAAACGGATAAAGGCGGGGGTATCAATCTGTCGGCAAACCGATGGATACTTTTTAACTTGTTCATAATACACACCTGTTATATTTTTTCGAATTTCAAGGCACAAAATATCTCGGCGTGCATTGTTGGCTGACATGTCTTGATGACCAGAAGATACATCTACTTCAGGTTCTTCTTCACTAATTTCATCAAAATCGAAATCGTTCTCATTTGCAAGGTTGTGCAGAACGCAACACGCCCTTATAAAATGGCAGAGCTTTTTCACACCTCTAAGCTTGCAATAGTACAGCTGCCGAAATCTTTGCTTTACCATACCGAAAGTGTGCTCTATTTTTACCCGTCCTGAGCTTAACTTTTTGTTGAAAAGTTTTTTCGGGGCAGTCAGATGGCCATTATCCCTGTAGGGTGTGACAAGATACCTGCTACATGGATATGCTGAGTCACCAAGAAGAAAGTAGTCTAACAAAATATATTACTGACTGATTGAGGCAAATAACACACAAATTCTTACCTCCACATTTGCTATCTAAATTTTGAGATAATGGCGAATTTTGGTAAACCCAACTATCATGTGCAGACCCCGGGTATCCGATAAACACATTAATAAATTTACGTTTTTCATTGCACACTCCTTGGACTTTTAATGAAAAATGTCCTTTGCGGTCGACATAATCATTTCGTCCATCCTTTGGCGGATCAATGATAACATGGGTCCCATCAATGCAACCTAGAAAATAATAAAAATTGTTAAAAATTTTCTTAAATTTAGATTATATTGGTATTTGTCAATTGTACAAATCTATAAAATCGCAGCAATCTTTACTTAATCTACTCTTTGTTTGGAACAAAAAAAGAGCTCAATTTTCACTTACCAATAGCTCCGGAAAATCCACATTTCAGTTTAAAGTATTCACTCGAAACTTGTCGTTCTTCTGCTGAAGGCCACTTTATCACCTGTGGACTTAGTGTACTTAAAAAGTAAGTCACTCGCTTTATAATACGACTTACAGAAGATATGGTTACATTAAATCTATCGGAAAGATCTCTATAGCTACAGGCTTCATGACCCGCAAACCACAAAATACTCTATATAGGCTCGTTGTGACACGAATTGAACAATATTTGCGCACTCCTTCGGAACACGCCCCATAAGTGGCCAACAGTTGGGAACAACATAACTCAATCGTCTCAATAGAATCTTGGGGCCAGCAGGAGAACTGCTGAAAACAATCCTACTTTCGGTTTTAAGCTTAATTTTTCAATTTACCTTTCACTAATTTTGCAATGTTTTCCAATACGTTTTCTTCGCCTGATTCCTCATTCAGCCAGTCCTCTTCACTGCTGGAATCATCCAAAAGTGAATACATCAGTTGCTCCATGTTTTCTCTTTCTGTTATTTGCACGACAGATATTAGTTTTTCCTTTAGTTTTTAAATGATCGTTTTTCTTTACATTTGTTGTGAAGCGCGAACATTGAAATGTATAAATACATTTTTCAACCTTGTTAGCCCTGCCAATTAAATGTCAAATTTACAAGTTGCACATTTCTGCTCGGCCAAATTCATGTAGCTAAAACAAGCAGAAATGTGCACCTCTCAGCGCCATTTTGTTCTCGAAAGAGCTGCAAGTTTTGCTAGTTTTTGGAGTACGGGAACGCGTTGTAGCAGAATTAGCACTAATTAGTACTAATTTGTTGGTTCTGGAACACAACTTTTGTTAGCTCAGCAAATGTTGTATTGGGAATTAAGTAGATATTTCTTAATTAATGGTCGAACAAGGAATAGATAGCGAATAACGTTCCATGTGAACTTAGCATGAGTGAGCTACATGAAGTCCCATGTAAATAACATTTTTAAATTAAATTTAATGTACCCCTCAGCCACTGATCGGATAAAAATGGCAAGACCAAAAACCAATTTTTTGTAATATTCTTAAATTTAACAAAGCAAACGAAATTGTATAATTGACGAGATTGTACCACTCATAAATTCCAAGGCGCAGAAAATGGTGACGAGATCTGAGATTAAGTGTACTCATGTACAAATTAGCGACAGTGAAGAGAGCCTCTCAAAAGCACTCCCCAATCTGCATTGGATGTACCGCTAAACTTCCAACCAATGAATATTTTGACTCAATTCCTAGTTGGAAGCAGTGCGCTGGGACTACGAGAAGCTGGAGGGGAGCATACTTCACGTTTTGGTCTTGCACAAATCCTGGACATATTAATTAGAATAAAATAGCACTTGGAAACCGGTTGCAAGTAGAAGAACAAGCTCCCTTCTATCACCTAGTAGGTCTGATCTTACAATCGTGGTGCATTGACCAGTCACAGCATTATCAGATATCTGACCTTAAGATGGGACAACAGTGTTCCTATCTACTGTAGACTATGCGAAGATAAGGAAGAGGTAGAGACGATTGAACATCAACTTTGCATATGTCCCATGTTATCCAAGAAGAGACATAGGCTACTTGGCATATGGGAGACAGAAACGCTAACGTTCTTCTAGGACATGGATCCCATCATCAATTTGCCATGGCCATTCTCTGGATAAGCACACCACCCACCTAACTACACTTCTCTCTATAAAACTTTTGTTCTCCTTCTCATTTCTGTATCTCTCCTATCCCTATTTGGCATATGGGAGATAGAAACTCGAACGTTCTTCTCAGACATGGATCCCATCAGCATTAACAAATTTGCCGTAGCCATTCCCTGGCTAGGCTGACCACCCTCCTTACTACACTTCTCTCTATAAAACTGTTGGTCTCCTTCCGGTTCTGTATCTCTCCTATCCCAAAAGGTTCACTTCTTTCTAGAATGAACAAAATTGGCCAAAAGTCTCCGAGTGAAATATTGAATTCGTGTAGTTGCGCATGTAGCTTAAACCAACCCGAACAAAAACCACCATAGTATTAAGTATTTTGCAGGAACACTGCAAAATACTTAAAATAGTCCTATAAGAGGACCTTCTATTATTCGGAAGATATGGAAAAACGATGGCTCGATCTCCAGGTCGATTGACTCGAATCCACGTCTTACAAATTAATCTGCTGATTCATTGCCAGATATATTGCAATGGCCTGGAATCTGACAAAGCTTTAAGAACGACTTAACCTTTTCCAGTGCATTCTTACAATCTAAAACTGCCATAGATTTAATGGTACACAAGTAGACTATCGACGTATATAACCACCGTTCCGTTTCGTTCAGTTCAATGTTTCTGATGGCCAAAAGATGTATAACTTTTTTGATAGCAACGATAGCAAAATATAGTTTGCAGATATTTACCTAGAATCAACAGAGCAACGTCGTCATCGTAAACCACGACTTTAATTCCGGTTTGTGGTGTACCTTTTCCTTCCTTTCTAGTGATTTTAGTGCAAGGGATTTTCGTTTGTATTTCTTGACCTCACTATAGTACTTGTTGAAGGCAGCATTATAGGGTGTTAAGTAAAATGTATAATCGTATAATCGTTTGCTTACTTTCCTAAGATTACTCAAATATTTGGTCCACCAAACTGGTTGGCATTTCTTGCCAGGGAAGGTAAACGGACATGATTCCTTGTATCAGTCAAGTATGTCTCTTTCTATGAAATTTACAGGTTTATCTAGGTTTGAGGTGATCTTAGTCTCGATATAATAGACTCTGCAAATTCATTTCAATGAGCCTTCCTTGGGTTTCTGTTTTTTTTTTATAAATACCCAGTACAGATATCTGCAATTTTGTTTTCCGATATTCCGAAAAAGAAAACTCGAAGGAGACCTTCCAGTTCAATATGTGCGATTCATCCATGTTAGTAAGGGTGAGATCAATAACTCTGACACTACCATTACGAACAATAACAATTTTTTATGTAATTTCTGTGGTATTTGTTATAGTTTTTCTTTTAACTTCTAATAATTTTACCACGTTTTGTTTTACCATGTTCTGTTTATTGCAAAAAACTTATACCCTGTTCAAGAACCTGCCATGATAAGATTAGGAATTTCAAGTCAACAGTTTTATAGAGAGAAGTGTAGTAAGGAGGGTGGTCAGCCTAGCCAGGGAATGGCTATGGCAAATTTGTTAATGCTGATGGGATCCATGTCTGAGAAGAACGTTCGAGTTTCCATCTCCCATATGCCAAATAGGGATAGGAGAGATACAGAAATGAGAAGGAGAACAAAAGTTTTATAGAGAGAAGTGTAGTTAAGAGGGTGGTCTGCTTATCCAGAGAATGGCCATGGCAAATTGATGATGGGATCCATGTCCTAGAAGAACGTTAGCGTTTCTGTCTCCCATATGCCAAGTAGCCTATGTCTCTTCTTGGATAACATGGGACATATGCAAAGTTGATGTTCAATCGTCTCCACCTCTTCCTTATCTTCGCATAGTCTACAGTAGATAGGAACACTTTTGTCCCATCTTAAGGTCAGATATCTGATAATGCTGTGACTGGTCAATGCACCACGATTGTAAGATCAGACCTACTAGGTGATAGAAGGGAGCTTGTTCTTCTACTTGCAACCGGTTTCCAAGTGCTATTTTATTCTAATTAATATGTCCAGGATTTGTGCAAGACCAAAACGTGAAGTATGCTCCCCTCCAGCTTCTCGTAGTCCCAGCGCACTGCTTCCAACTAGGAATTGAGTCAAAATATTCATTGGTTGGAAGTTTAGCGGTACATCCAATGCAGATTGGGGAGTGCTTTTGAGAGGCTCTCTTCACTGTCGCTAATTTGTACATGAGTACACTGGATTTAATCTCAAACGAGGATCCTATATGTCAGACCTCTGTGTCATACATCCAGTGTACGACTTGTGGTCTAAGACCCCAGCTGTTTCCTTTGAGGTTCTGCATTAATAAAGAGCAAAGAGGCCCCAGTCTTGTTCCTGGATAGTATCGAAGTACTTGGCGCACGAGGAGAGATCAGTGTAACCCCGTCCAGCACTGGCGTGGTCTATGTCGCGTTTCTTTGTTAGTAGTACAACTTCAGTCTTTGCTGCGTTACCACAGACCATTGTCTAGTTCGTTATGAGCATATGCGACCACTTTTATTCGAAGCTTGTCGAAACTCGCAAGTATTTCGTTAATCATCAGAAGCCAAATCAGGAGTGAGAGAACACCTCCCGCCGATGTCCCTAAGTCAACAGTTTTTCTAATGAAAATCTCTCATCTAGAAATATATCATCTTGCGGTGTGAGAAGAAGCTCTTTTCAAAAACCTTCCAATAGCTAATAGGAGAGTCGATCATATTGGAGAGGGTGATGTCAATGACTTCCCTTCATACACTATTTTGAAATCTCGAAGATTTACCCATATTACATATTCTAAGATAATTGTTGGGAATAAAACGTCTGACTTTCGCGTCGCTGCTTCCCCCGTAAAAAATGGTGGGCGTTTGTGTCACATCCAAAGATGAGTCGCATGTACTGCCCATTTTCTTTAATAGTTGCAGGACATCTCTGTGTGGTAGATTGAGAGGATCTGTAGTGGATTTTATTAAGAATTATAAGATTTATATTTATTTTCGCAACTATGCATATACCTACTTTGTCCCAATTTGTCTATCCTGGAGGCCCCATTGATGAATAGATAGGGCTCCTGGACCAAGGCAATTAGACCCCGAGAGGATTAGCTAAAGTTTGGCAGCCGCGACCTTGTAGTGATTCCTGTGATAAGAACAGTATTCTGCTTCTCAACAAGCTACCCTGAAGCCACCATTCCGCATCGGATCTTTGAGACAGCACGGCGGTAACCTAGCTGGCTTCACAAAGGGATTTCCGGCCATTAACTGCTAAAATTACGAAATCTACCGATTCTTTATTTTCGCATGTAATGACTGTCATGCATCCGAACGGTAAAACGACCTCATCCGAACGGTAAATAAACCGGATCTTCCCTTCGATTAGCAGCCAATGGTCCTCACTGATGAGCCCATAAATAACCGCTACTTTAAGGTCCCCCGGTACCATCCGTTGAGCGAATTGATCATCTTGCTTCGTTTTTCTAACAAGCATTGTCGACAGGAACGGCTATCTCCTTCCCATTAGAGTGTTTCTCACCATTCTTCTTGCCGCCACTGAAGTGCCCAAGACGGACTTTTGTACCATCTGCTTCGTCACCATTTTCTGCGCCTTGGAATTTATGAGTGGTACAATCTCGTCAATTATACAATTTCGTTTGCTTTGTTAAATTTAAGAATATTACAAAAAATTGTTTTTTGGTCTTGCCATTTGTATCCAATCAATGGCTGGGGGATACATTAAATTTAATTTAAAATGTTATTTACATGGGACTTCATGAGGAGGGCTTCTTCAATGCACATTCATCGTTACTGTAGCTCACTCATGCTAAGTTCACATGGAACGTTATTCTATCTATTCCTTGTTCGACCATTAATTAAGAAATATCTACTTAATTCCCAATACAACATTTGCTGAGCTAACAAAGATTTTTGTTCTTCGTTCCATTCAAATCACTCTTAGAACTTAGATTGAATGTGTGCCATCCCTAATAAATAAAAGCATTTATCGAAAAAATAAATTATGACATTTAAAAATTGCCAAATTTAATGAAATTTTAAAAAAATTTTTGGGAAGACTGAAAATTATGAATGAAAACTACAATGTTGAATGGCGTATGTACATTCAAACGAAAGTAAATTTATGTGTTTGTTTCTCTTTCGAGACGAGCTCAATGATCTGAAATTTGCAGTGAAAACTTTGCTGTGAAAAGATTTGCTAATAGAGCTTGAGTCGAACTTGGGGAGTTTCTAGTGTTTAATTCGCATATGCTAATTCGCAAAAAGTTCGAAATATATACTACTTTCCAGAAAACTGCCC